TTTTTTTATAGCTTTGGATTCCACAAGCTTTCGGTTGCCGCCCTGAATATGACAATGGCCTGGAAGAAATGGTTTTTGGATTTGAACCTTGGATCATTGTGGTGAATCTTGCAATGCCCTTTTCCATTTTCTACCGGATGCATTCAGCAGCCTCCCTCTTTGAGGTTAGCTGCAAAATGTAAATTGTATAATTTCATCAAGAAGGAAAGATGAAAGGCTGGGAAGATCCAAGATCATTTAAATGAATTCTTCTGCCACCTCTTCACTCCATTGTGAGGAAACTTAGGCAAACATTAATACATCTGTAAAAGCATTTGGCCAATACACAGCTGCAGGCTTTCAGATTTTAAGAAAAAGAGATGATTTGGCACTTAAATGGGCATGGATGTTATACCCCTCCCCCACTTGTGTACTTCCAAAGTGTGGTGCAGAAGTCAAGGAAAAGAGCATGTTCTTGTAATGTCTCTGCAACGCTGACCTCAAAGGAGATGTTTGAGACTGTAGACTCTATCAAGGACAACATTGCAAAATCTTTCTTCAGCTAATAGCATGAAGGCCACTATTTGAAAAAAAAAAAAAAGTTCCCTGTAGAAATTGAACTTACAGTTTTCATGAGTTCTAAGGAATTTTTAACATATAATGAAAAATGAAATGCAAAAGCAGTATCCCCACCAAAATACTGTACACCTATATTAATATTACTAGTAATAATTACAGTAATAATTACTAATAAATATTCAACAGTGTCATTGATTTCATTCATCCGCAAAGGTGAGGAAATTCAGAATTATAAAACTTAAGCCTCTGCTTGTAAAAGGAGAGAAATAACACCAAATACAGGAAGTTGTAAGTGTGCTATGTCACTCCAGTGCTGCTTCTCACATAGGTTCAACGGCACAACATGCCATGTGGCCTACTGCGAGCTGTGGCACCAGCCTGACAAGCCATGTAGCCTTGTGCTACAAGCAGCGGCACAGTTGTGGTGCGCCACATGGCATCTGGCCACAAGTGGACATGGGCAGCTGCAGAAGAAGCTGCAGAAGTCAGCGAGTGGTGCGACAGGTGTCAGGGCATGGGAGGCCTGGCTGCAGTGGTCCTAAGGTAAGTGGGTAAGACATCCCACAAAAATACGACCTGGTGCTTATTTTGGGCCCAAAAGAAAATAAGACCGGGTCTTATTTTTGGAGAAACACGGCATATTCTTTCCAAGAAAAAAAAAAATCAAAGATGTGACTGAGAGCCTTACTAATGTAATCAATCCTTCTCTTTCATGTGGGGATGAACAATACAACAATGAACCAAAAACCCTATCAAGGTGCTATGAGTAACTTGGCATGAAAGCTAAAGAGTTAGGACTACATATAGTGTTTGCATCTTACTTCCAAAGAGGAACAGAATTTTAGAAATAAACCACTGGCTTAAAGGATGGTGGCATCAATAGAACTTTAAATTCTTAGACCATGGCCCACATTACTTATATGAAGGCAGTAGTGGGATTCAAATAATTTAACAACCAGTTTTCTGCCCTAATGACCATTGGGTAGATGTGGCTGGGTGGTCATGTGACTGGTAGTCATGGCTAATTCAACATCACTCACATTGAGGAGTGCCTTGCTTCACCCCGCCTCTCCTCACCATGTATGGCCATGCCTTGCCCCTCTCTTCCCAGCCACTCCTTGGCCTGGCCTGGCCTCACCTCCTGGCCACTCATCTCAAAGTCCTCGACGTATCTATAGTTCTGTAAAAATGTAAACCTTTTTTGACTTTATTATCTGCATCCTGCTGATATATAAAAGGACTTGGAATGAACAAATAAACCAGAGTTTGGTGCTACTTTCATTTATTTCATAAAGAAAGTCATATAGCATGTGTTCTGCAATACTATAAACCTCTTAGATCTGGCAATGTATTACACCATCTTTAGTTATATAACTGTATTGAAATTCTCCCTATAATTGGTGGTCAGCCTCACATGTTATTGTGTGGAAATGTGGGGGCATTCCCCATGGTGAATTGACAATAACGTTTGTCCAATCTAACCCAAGCAATCACAATTAGGAAACAACAAATGTAATGGAGCTGATTCCTGACAACTTTTTAATGAGATTTTATTATTCAGTATAATCTGAAATTCAGATTATGGTAATAACAAATGACTTTGTACTGGCACACATACACTTCTGCCTGGAGGAAATAGACTATCACTGACTCACAATGTTTACAATTATAAAAGTTGTTCAGGAGACACTGTTTATCCAAAGGCATAGTTGTGGGTGTCCCCTATTCTAAATGACCAGAGCTAGCTGGTCGAATTAGTGGGTGCCTTGGCATTATAATTTGGATGTAATCTGTCTAGTTGTGATCTTAACTTGCGACCCATTAATAATTCAACGGGGTTGCAGTTTGTGGTGGCACTAGGGGTGATGTGCTGTACAAGGAGGAATTTGTCAATTCTAACTTGCCAGTCCCTTGGACCCATTCTTGCTAGAGCTTCTTTGGTTGACCACACCATTCTCTCCACTTGACCATTGCTCGATGGATGGAATGGGGTGGCCAGGTCATGCCTGATTCCTAGCTCCAAAATCTTGAGTTGAGTGGCTGTGAATTTGGGGCCATAGTCCGAGACCAAAATGTGCAGTAGGCCTTGGGTGGAGAAAAGTGTCCGTAATACTTTAATGACCACCTCTGCCATTGTGAAGTTCATAAGTATTAACTCAAGCCATTTTGAGTAGGTGTCTACAATTATTAAGAATGTTTGGCCCTGGACTGGCCCTGTGAAGTCAATGTGCACCCCTGACTAGGGTGCTTTGGGAGTCTCCCATTCATGTGCCAGTGCAGAAGGGGGTGCTGGAAGTTTTTGGGGTTTGGGGAAGAAACCACAGAGTCAGAGTATTCCAGACATTGACCACTCTGTTGCTGAAGTCATATTTTCTGCAGTCAAGTTTAGTGCGGTTTACCTTGAGTTTGTATCTATTGTGTGCTCTTGTATTGTTATGGTTGAAGCTGAAGTATTCATTGACAGGTAGGACATTGCAGCAGATAATTTTATGTACTTCACTTAGATCAGACCGAAGGTGGCATAGTTCTAGGTTGTCTAGTTCTAAAATTTCAAGTCTGGTGGCATCAGGTATTCTGCTACAAGTAGAGGAGTGGAGAACTCTTCTCATGAAATATTTCTGGACTTTCTCGACTGTATTAATATCTAATATGTAATGCGGGTTCCAGACTGATGAGCTGTATTCAAGTATTAGTCTAGCAAATGTTTTGTATGCTCTAGTTAGTAGTGTGATATTACCAGAGAAAAAGCTATGTAAGATTAGGTTAACAACTCTTAATGCCTTTTTGGCGATGTAGTTACATTGGGCTCTAGCACTTAAATCACTAGAGATGAGTACTCCAAGATCCTTGACAGAGTTGGGGTCATCAACAAGGCCTTGACTATTCAGCTTGTATTTTATTTTCTGATATTTTTTTTGCCAATATGAAAGACAGAGCATTTATTTGTTGAGATTTGAAGTTGCCATTTGTTTGACCATTCTGACATAGTCGAGATCATTTTGAAGGGTAGCAGTATTGTTAGTGGTGTTGAATAGCTTTACATCATCAGTGAAAAGAACACAGTTGCTCTTAATATGATCACAGAGGTCATTTATGTAGAGTATAGAGTTGGTCCTAGAACACTGCCTTGGGGGACACCACTGTTGACAGGTACAGAATTTGATAGGACGCTCCCAATTTTGACCATTTGTTGTCTGTTTGACAGGAATACATCTATCCAGTTATGCAGGTGTCTGAAGATTTTTCTGTAAATCAAAGGATTTACAGAAGTCTATGTAAATAGCGTCAATTGCTTTGCCCTGGCCAAGTTGTGTAGTCCATATGTTTTTGCAGTGTAGGAGTTGCAGATTACAGGATAGTTTTTTCCTGAAACTAAATTTATTTTGGGCAGGAGGTTGTTTGTCTCTAAGTGGAGGATAATGGATTGGTTAATAATTGATTCCATGACGTTACAGGTGATGCAACATAAAGAGATTGGTCTGTAATTTTCAACTAAGCCAGGGTCTCCCTTTTTGAAGATGGGGATGACCGTGGCTTGTGATCATAGTTTTGGCAAGGAGCTGGTCCTGAAAGATTTTTCAAAGATTATGCTTAGAGGTTCTGCTATGGCAGTGGATAGCTTTTTAAAGAAGTTGGCACATATTCCATCCAGTCCAATAGATAGAGATAGTTTTAGATTGCGTAGTGCCTTTTCAACATTATCTTCTATAAAATCGATATGCATTAGATCATTGTAGTTGTCTGTGGTTCAACTAGAAAGTATTGGGCTTGATCCATTGCTGTTTACAAAGACTGAACCAAAGAATGTGTTAAAGAGATTGGCTTTAATGGTGTCATCATTACAGTCTTTGCCGTTAGGTCTTTTCAGGGGTGGGAAGGACCTTGAGGCTTTTAGTTTGTTGTTTACAAAATTGTAGAAAGTGTGGGTGGAATTGGTGCATAGAAGGTTTCCTCTTGTTTAATGTGATAATTGGTGCATTCAGTCTTTATCTGGTGGCATAAATTTTTGTATTGGCTTTTAAAGTTGGCAATGTGACCAGATTTGTTTTTCCACCAAAGGGATTTCTTTTTTGATTGGAGCTTCCTTATTGTTATGGGTAATTTGTTTTTTTCTGGTTTGGGGAGTTGTTATTGGTACATATAGTTTGATGCCTCTTTTGACTTCAAGTAAAAATATGTTGTAATGGTCTTCAACAGTATTGCATCCAGTGAATAGAATTTGCCAATCAAGAGATGAGAGATTATTGTCTATAAGATCATAGTTGCCTTTTTTGAAGTTATAATTGGGGATCCCATCGTTATGATGATTTTTGTGAGGATGTATGTTGAGTCAAAAGTCAATCATGCTATGGTCACTGTTGGAAAAGGGTTCTTTTATTTGTATTCCGTAAATTGAACTCAAACTGTTGCAGAAGATGAGATTGAGGCAATTAAGTCTAGTGTTGTTGGTTACTAGTTGTTCCAGTCCCAGGTTTGTTACAGCATTGTAGAAGGTTGCATGTATGGGTTCAGTTTTACATTCGTTTAGCGTCCAGTTAATATGAGGTAGATTGAAGTCACCAAGAAAGATAAAAGTGTGTGGGCAGGATGTTGCCCATGTTAGTAGTGAATTTAACTTGTTTAC